CCCCCACCTAATTTCTTTGATTGTCCTTTTACATCTTGCATATATGTAGATTTTTATATAGACATCATAAATGTCTATGCTATTCTAGTTCTGTGTTCTTCACCTTATGTTATTTCATATGTCTTTCCATATTTATTTGTATTCTTCACAGTTGTCATTTTGTGGCATCATAGTATTCCATTATATTGATAGATCATAGTTGGGTTTTTTTTAAACATTCCCCAACCCTTGAATTTCCAGTTTTTCATGTTATAAAGTAGTTGTAAATGTTTTCATAAATGTACTTTATATTTTAAATTAATTCCTTAGTGTGTAGTCCCAGCAGTGGGATCACTGGAACAAAGGGAATGATCAGTTTTGTAACTCTTACTGTATACTGCCAAATTGCTTTCTAAAAATTACACTCATTTGTAAATTCTGCCAACATCAGTATAGGTGTACCTGTGTTTCTGCCAGCACCACCACTTTTTTTTTTTGGTTTTGGATTTTTTTTTTTTTGGTTTTTGCATAAGGCAGTCAGGGTTAAGTGACTTGCCCAAGGTCACACAGCTAGTAAGTGTTAAGTGTCTGAGGCTGGATTTGAACTCAGGTCCTTCTGACTCCAAGGCCAGAGCTCTATTCACTGCGCCGCCTTGCTGCCCACCACCACTTTTATTTTTGCCAACTTAATAGATGTGAGGTGGGACCTCAAAGTTGTTTTAACTTGCACTTCTTTGATTATTAGTGAGGTTGAATACTTGGTTAATATTTACATTTTGCTTTTCCTCTTATTTTAAACTTAATACATGCTTTGACCATTTATCCACTGGGGACTAAGTCTTGTCTTATAACTTTATGTCAGTCCATTGTAGATTGTGAATATCAGACTTTTATCTGATAGATTTACCTTAGAGATTTTATTCCTACTGTTTTTTATTCTTATCTTTGTTTTTACCATTTTTTCATTTTTACATAATCAAATCCATGTACTTTGTTCGCAATAATCTCTTCCATTTATTCAGTCAGCAAGATTTTGTCTCTCCTCCACAACTGAGATCATTACATTAATCGTTTTCTTCTAACTTTTAATTTTTTTTTATCTTTAACTCCTGGACCAGCTGGAATTTATTTTATATCATTGAAGTATGAGATTAAACTCATGTTTTACCGTATTGCTTCTCAGTTTCCAATCATTATTCATTGAACAATTATTCCTTTCCTCAATATGTAATGTCTCTAAATTCCTTTTATGTAGATTTAGTTCTATTTCTGGGACCTCTGTTTGGTCCTCTTTTCTCTGATCTCTATTCTGCTCCATTTAGTTCTTCTTAGTACTACATAGGTATTATAATTACCATTTTTTGATGTGCTTAAAAGTCTAGCAAGGCAAGTTCTCTTTCATCACTTTCCCTGCCAGAGTTCCATAGATTTTCCCCCCTTTGTTTTTCCATATAAATTTTGTAATTTTATCTGGTTCTATAATCCATTGGTATCTCAATGAGTATTGCAATGAAACTATAAATTAATTTGAAAGGTATTGACATCTTTTTTATATTGTCTTCTCCTATACAATGTCCTATGGTCAAGAGATATCCTTCCAATTCAATTCTTCAATTATTTCTGCAAAATTATCTGGTAATTATCTTTTTATGTGTTTTGGTAAGGTACTATCCAAATACTTTATGCCTATTGTAAATGATATTTTCTGTTCTGTTAGTTTTTCTTGGTCTTTATTGATAACATATAAGAGCTTATGTTTGTGAGTTTTATCTTATATTTTGCTACCTTGCTAAATTTATCTCACTTTTTGTGAGCTATTTGTTCTCTCACTTCCATTTTTTGTTCAGTCTCTCAGATTTCCTAGGCAGATTAATTAAACTAATAACACAGGGTCTCCAGCATTTGGCTCAGGGCCAACACATAGTGAATACATCATAAATGCTAGGGGGATGATAAATAAACGGTACTAAATATAGAGTTGTGGGCCACTAGGTGTCACAGTGGATAGAGCACTGGGCCTGGAATCAGAAAGGCTCATCTTCCTGAATTCAGATATTGCCTCAGATACTTACTAGCGGTATGACCCTAGGCAAGTCACTTAACCCTGTTTGCCTCAGTTTCCTCATTTGTAAAATGAGCTGAAGAAGGAATTGGCAAACCATTCCAGTAACTTTTCCAAGAAAACCCCAAATGGGATCACAGAAAGTCAGACATGACTGAAAAATAACTGAACAACAACACAAATGTAGAGTTACATGTTCAGTACCTTCAGAGGACACTAACTGAGTATTAATGAGGAGTAGCATATATTCATTAGTAAAGAAAAGGAAATCATAGCATAATCAGTGACTGCTGAATAGAAAATTAGTCAAATTTCATTGATTTTCTTGTTCTTTGGCTTCTTGTTCCCTGGCAGCCCTTTTAACAAGATATTGATAGAATCTCTAAGGACAAAGTAGGTTCTGGACTAGATGGTTTCTTTAGTCTGGGTCCCGTTCGTGGTTGGCATTGGTCTCTTTCTGGCATAGGTGTGCCTGTACATGTCAAAGATTGGCATGGGGAAAGCAGGAAAGGATAACTTTTCCCTGAAATGCCCCCCAAAATCACTCTTCCTCCCCCTACCTTAAGTAAGGAAGATATGTGTAGGCATTTCTTGTCATAAATAGTTGATCACATCAAGTCCAGATCAAAATGAAGGCCTTTTCAATGTGCCCTGTTCCCAATTTTCTCTTCCAATTCAGATTGGAAAGGTGCAGATTGAATCGCTAGTAGGCTGTGCCCTACTGTTCAGCTGAAGCCACTCATGGTCCTGTACCCTGCTCTAAAGTCAGCATACAGTGGTAGAACAGGGAGACCTGCATTGAAAACCCACTGAAGACGCTTGACAGCTGTGTTATTCTGGTCACGACACTTAATTTCTCTGTACCCCCTTTTCTTTTCTGTAAAATAAGGAGATTGGACTCTATGACCTCCAAGGCTCCTTCCTGCTGTAAATCTGTGGCCCGAGAAGGCTGAGAAATGAACCTGGAAAAACCCTAGACTTAAGGTCAAAGACAACGAGCTCCAAAGCCATTCCAGCAAAACCGAGGGAAGTTTTTTTAAAGAAGCTAATACCAGTGAGAGAGCAGGGATTTAAGATCACATCCCTTTCCGGGAGAAATTAAGGCTTACTCTAAAATCACCAGATTTTTTGATCACTGAGGTAGCTAAATGGCTCAGTGAATAGAATACTGGGCCTCGAGTCAGGAAGACCTGAGTTCAAATGTGGCCTCACACACTTACTAGCTATGTGACCTAGGCAAGTCATTTAACCTCTCTTTGCCTTAATCCACTGGAGAAAGGAATGACAAACCACTTCAGTATCCTTGCCAAAAAAAAAAAAGTCAACGCACATGTTGGCATGCTGTGTCACAAAGAGTCTGACACAACTGAACAAGTGAAAAACAACAACAGAAGTGGAAGAGGGTGGGATTTCAAGATCACATCCCTTTCCAGGGAGAAATTAAGGCTTACTTTAAAATCACCAGATTTAGGACCTCTTAGTAAAGGCCTAAAATTCAGCAGCTGTTGTGCTAAGCAATGACAGGGTTACAAGGCCAGATGAGACACTGTCCCTGCTCTCAAAGGAATTTACAAACTTAAGTATGAGAGGAAATCAAAAATACACACATAACTGCAAAAAAAAAAACCCAAAAACAAAAACACTCTTATGAGTGGATAAGCAAGATCCAGAGGCAACATAGATTAGAGGACAAAGTGCTGCCCTCAACGTCAGGAAGATCTGAATTCAAATTCTTTCTCTAATAACCAGCTATGTAACCTGGAACAAATCATTTAGCTGCTATTTGCGTCAGGAAAATCCCTAAAATTTAGCTATTAAATCATTAGGATCAACCTTGTATGTTGGTGAAGAGTGTAACACCACTGGACATCCTCAATGTGGATGAGCATTTAAGGAAAAGTATCAACATAACAGTAGGCAAATTCCAAGGATCAAATGAACATTTATGACTTGAGGAGTCAGACTGGGGTTATCCCCCAAAGGCTTCATGGAAGAGGTGACATTTTTGAAGAAGGATGTAGGATTTTGGCAGGTGGAGGTGGAAGGAGGGAACAAGGTGAGCACAGGCAGTCTGGTACAGTAGACCCAGGGCTGGTTTGGAAGTCACAATACCTGGGCTCAAATCACAAATGTACTTTTACTACCTGCGTGAATTTGGGCAAATCACTACCTCAGCTTCCTTGTCTTTAAAATGAGAGGTGTGATCCCCTAATCCTATATGGCTTCTCCATGGAACAGGAAGGAGCCCAGTATGACTGGAGGAGTTAGTATAAAATAGGACCAGAAAAAATGTGTGTAAATGCAGGAGGCTGGACTAGAATATCTCTCAAGGTCACATCCAACATGATGATTCTATAAAATGCTCAGCATGAGACTTCTGTATTATCTTCACCCATCCTGTTCTCATCCTCTCTGATAAGCTAAATCTTACACTTCCTTCAAGGCTTAGTTCAAGATTTACCACATCAAAAAAGCATTCTCTGATTGATGATTTTGTTTTGATGACAGGAAAGGATAGTTGTGAGATTATGAACTTCGGACTTTATTTTATAGGCAATTGGAAATTATTGGAGGATTTTGAGTGATAAGTGATCTGATTAGATTTGTGCATAAGTGAAATTTATCTTGTAGCACTGTGAGGGTTGGAATTAGATTGGGGCAAGACTGGACATGGGAAGATTAATTAAGTTACTGCAGTGGTTGAGACCAAAGATAATGAGGGCTTAGATAGGGATGAATGCTGTAGTAATGGAAAGGAAGGGACAGATGGAAGAAATATTATGGAGGAGACCCAGCAGAACTTAGCAGCTCATTGAATGTGGAATATGACAGAGAGAAAAGAGACAAAAGTGACATTAAGAATTAGATTTTGAGCCTGGTTAACTAGACATTGAAATCCTCAAGAAAAGATTCTGTGCCCCAACCTTGTATCTATGTGTTTGTGTCTGTGTCATTCCAGAAACGTGTCAGCCTACGAGGTTTCCTCCTCCCAGACCATCACTTCTCCTCAGCGATCCAAACGAGTCAAAGAGAACACACCTCCCCGTTGTGCAATGGTACACAATAGCCCTGCCTGCAGCACCTCTGTCACATGTGGGTGGGGCGACGTGGCTTCCAGCACCACCAAGGAGCGCCAGCGACAGACGATTGTCATACCTGACACTCCCAGCCCCACAGTCAGCGTCATCACCATCAGCAGTGACACAGATGAGGAAGAAGAACAGAAGCATGCCCCCACCAGGTAAGGCGATAAGATGTGTTCAGTCCAGTGAGATTGCCCAGGTATGTAGAAAGTTAGGCTAAAACAAAATCTCTGGTATCATCTGGATCAACCCCTCATAATCAAGCAGTCAGTCAACAAGCATTTATTAAATGCCTACTATATACCACACACTGGGCTAATTGGCTCTGGGGATACAAAGTCAGAAATGAAACTGTCCTTGTCCTTGAGATGTTTACATTTTATTAGGAGACCACACACACATATAGAAGTATATTAAAAGTAAACATAAGGGTATTTGGGGTGGGGAAAGGAGAACTAGTCAGCTGCAGAGATAAGGAAGACCCTCATGCAAAAGGTAGTTTTTTAGCTGAGTTTTGAAGGAAACTAGGGGTTCTATGAGGATGAGGAAATGAGTGGGACATAGGCACTAAGACAGGAGATGGAGAATTATGTATGAGGAGCAGCAAGATGGCTGCTTGGACTATGACACACACAAAGCGGGTAATGATTAACACCTACCCCAGAGTGTTGCCCGTTGTGTTGGGGTTATATCACAAATGTTTACAAAAAATCCTGTAGAATAAATTTTATGAGGTATGATTGTCACAGAAAAAAAACAACAGTGTTTTAGCTCCAAAATGATTCTGAATCTGTGCCTCGCTCCGTACCAAAATAGTCCAGGATTTTCTTTTATTACAGTCTTGGATTCTTTGGAATCTTACATAAATGTCTAATGAAGCACAAATTTACTTTCTCTGATGATCAGACTCTGATCAGGTTTTGCAAACTTCAAAATGCTTTTTCATCCAATGTCTGTAACTCTTTATTCCAGGGAAGTAATAATTCATTGTATTCCTTGTTCTTCCTGGGAAGGAGAGAGCATGTATCTGCAAATCAGATAAATTCTGCAAAGCTGAATTAACACCACTGTCACAGCCTGTTCTCCCATATTTTTGGGTTGTAGAGTGGTAAATTGCACTTTCTGTGTGGGCCGGTGCCCTTAAGTAGTTATAACACGGTGCTAATGAGGTTGCTAAGGTTTGCTAAAGCCCATTCATCTCTCTCTAGTTCAGGCCTACACACACACACACACACACACATCTTTCCTCTCTCTCTCTCTCTCGCTCTCTCTCTCTCTCTCTCTCTCTCTCTCTCTCTCTCCCTCTCCCCCCATCCTGTCCACCCTTTTAGGTGCTGCATATGGATTCTCCGTGAAGCCTAGCCACTGATGCTTTATTATGCCTACTTGTTGTATCTTGTGAAGTGGGAATAAGCCTCCAGGGAGGTATGCACTCCACTCTTAAACCACAAAGCCAGTGAATTAACAATCAAGCACACATCTTATGAGTGGATATAAAACATTAACATCTGTAGTCATACTCAAAATATTAATTTATTATCAGATACAACATTATAATCATGCTCCATTAGTAGTCACATCATTTTGATTGGATAATAAATGCTCACTCTTGTAATTCATCCATCATTACAAAATATCACCGTGATTGGTTAAAATGCACTTGCACTGTAGCAGCCCCTACATGGTGCCTACCAATTATCTGTCACTCATAAAACCAAGCTAAGCATGTTTATTTATGACCACACTTGCCTTGCCACGATATAGCCTGTCCTAAGTCCCCTTTTTCTCTTCAATCCTGATCTTAACAAAGGTGTTGTCCCTCATGTTCTTTCATCTGTTTCCTGTACACTGATTCTAGACCTTACCCTACTTGAATGTTTCTCCTTTTTCTTCTGGCCCCTACCTACTGCCAAGTCTCCCTCCTGATTAATCGCTAAGGCACACCAACCAGATTACAGGTTCAGTTCCAGGTTTAAAGATTGCATCCCTAAACTTGATTAGCTTCGTCACAGATGTCTGTTGTTTACAATGAGAACCACACAACTAGAAAATAATAAAATTATCTGACAGGATCACATATTTATGCAGGAGACCTTAGAGGTCACTTAGTCCAACACCTTTGTTTTACAGATGAGTAAACTAAGGCCCAGAGACGTGATATGGCATGTCCAAGGTCCCCCAGGGAGTGAGAGAACAAACCCAAGGCTCCCCAACCTTAGCTGTAGGGCTGTTTACGCTGTGCAGCACTGCTTCTCCTTATCCTCCAACTGGTGATCAGGGTAGTGTCTGGGTCAAGGTTAGTGATCAGAAGAAGTAGGTAGGAAAGAGAAGTAAAGAGAAGATGGGCCAGAGCAGAAGACAGCTTTTAGAAGCAGGAAGAAGCCACTTGTTGGAATATCAAGAATTAAACCAAAGTGTCAGGGAGAACAGAGTTGCTAAGCCTAAGATGGAAGAAAAAATTGGAGTCAGACAGTGTAGGGCTAGGTCATCTATTTGAGAGGTAGAGACTAGAACGGGAGTAGGGAACACAGGGTCAGAATGAACTAGAAGAAGGTCAAGAAAAGCCAATGCAATACACAAGCTTCTAGTCCAGCAACTAAAGGAAAAATTGCAGAGCATCCTCCTCGCTCTGTGCCGTGTACCTGTTTGAGATCTGTGCATACACTGCCCATCAGTCAGGCAGTTGACAAGCTTGAGAAATGGGCAGAACTAAAAGCCAAAGTTTATATATTCTTCTGCGTTAATATTAAAAGCAATAAAAATTAAAATGACCATAACCTTTCTGTTGATTCCACTACCATTTTCCAAGTCACCCAAGCACAAAACCTTGTATTCACCTCTCTTCCTTCTACTTTACTCCCCCACATTCTGTTAGTTGCCAAGTCCTATCTAGCCCTTGTCCATAGTATCCTTGCATCCATCTCACTCTCTCCAAGCACACTTTATCACCTCTCCAATTGATCCTTCATAACATCTACAAAAATAATCTTCCTAATAAACAGGTCCTACTTTCTTTTGTTCAAAACCCTTCATTATTGTCTTGTCAACTACAGGATAAAATATTAACTCCTTAAATTTAAGGCCCTCCACCATCTGACTTCTGTCTAACATATCTCACTCCTACTTTATGTTCCAGCCAAACTCACTGCTCTTTGATCTCACCCTATTCTTCCCCAACTCTATACACTTGTAAAAGCAATCTGTTCCCAGGTCCAGTGGCACACACCTGTGATCCCTGTTACTGGGGAGGCTGAGGCTAGTGGAACACTTGAACCAAGAAAGTTCTGAGCTGTAGTAGGGCTAAAGCCATTCCAATATCCACACTAAGTATGGCATTGATATATATGGGAGTGGGAAGCCACCAGGCTGCATAAGGAGGGACAGACCAGCCCAGGTTAGAAATAGAGCAGATCAAAATTTCTGTGCCAGTCAGTGGTAGAATTAAGCCTATAAGTGGCTGTTATACTTTCAGCCTGGGTGAAAACCCAATCTCACCATTCATAGAAAGTACCCTTTCTTCCTCATGTCTGCCTGTTAAAATCTTTCTTTTCCTTCATGGTACTGCCACCTCCTCCATGAATCCTGCTGGATCTTCCTACTTGAAAATGATCCCCTCCCTCATCAGATTTTCCTAGAACATCCTGTCTGGGTCCTTTTTTTTTTTTAACCTCTCTCACATTTTACCACGTATCATACTGATTTCTATACATGTCATACCTACCCATCAGCATGTAAACTCCTTGAGAACAGAAACTGTGTTGTTTTTTATTTTAAATTTTTGTATTTCCAGAATCTTGCACATAAATATTTGTTGAATGTAGTTGAAGTTGGAATGCTTAGCAACAAGTAAGGACCTTGATATATTTGGCAATTGAAAGACTTTGTGGAAAGATAACCAATGAAATATAGTACTTCTAAGAAGAATGTCTATAAATAGAAATCCCATAATTAATGGGTATTATGGACAGTGACCAGAGGAAGTCAGAGCAAGCCATAAGCCGTAGATGCTGGTGTCTGTATTTTAGCCAGGCCAGTAAGAATGAACTGGAAAGCAATAAAGTTGCAGAAGCTCCAGAATTCAGCCTGGTCATAACAATGGAGGACTTCAGCTGTCCACAGATTAGTTAGTAGAACACATTATCAAGGTAAGATATGGTAAGATTTTTAGAGAATACTTCTCTGGGAAGGTAATTTTAGAACCCATGAAGAAAGCGAAAATATAGTACTTGATTCTTTGTGAGGCGCAGAAAATAGTTCAAGAGGTGTCCATGGGTGAACAATTATGTTACTGTGATCATAACTAGACTAAGTTTAGCATTCTGGTGAGAAGAAAAGCCCAAGAATATGATTATACTGTTAATCAACAATAGAAAAGGGCACTGCAATAACATGTAGCCATTGTGGGGGGGATGAAAAGAATAGATTAAAAATGACTGGATTACTCAGATAATGCCAAGAGTGGTTAAAAATTCCTTCTTGGAAAGACAGGACAAATGTGTGCCCCCCACACTGGAAAAGCGGCCAGAATAAAGCCCTGTGTGGCTAATTAGAAAAGTAAGAAGTCAGTGCAGTGGTGATGAGCATCTTTTGATTGAAGGAAGATTGGCTATGGAAGAACAAGGAAATTCACACAGAACATGACAGATTGGGTACAAATAGGGAATTAGATAAGCCAAAAAGAGTTTGAATAAGAATTCTTAAGGACCCTATAGTTTCTTTAAATAAAATAGAAGCTATAATGTCCATTAGTATCGGGACTGTGGGAAGATACAGGTAAGCAAAATGTACAGGGATTACCCTGCAGACTAGACACAAAAAAGAAGAGGGGACACTGTCAAGTAAACGCTGGCTACAGTATGTCTCTCCCACTTCTAATTCTAATGTCTGCTGTTCCTGACCTTGGCTTAGCTAGCCTGCCCGTCGGATCATGATTTTAGAGCTGCAAGGGATCTTAGAGGCCACGGAGTGCAGCCATAGCGTTTTACAGGGGAGAAAACTTGAGACACAGAGAGGTTTAGTGCCTTGCCCACTTTCACATAGTTTTAACAAGTGCCTGAGTTGAGTCTTGAACTCAGGTCTTCCTGACTTCCAAGTCTAGTGCTGTGTCTGGTATCATGTGCCTCTCATGTTCTGCTGCATTACTAACTTTGCCTGGTCA